TCCGCTGCTTGCCCGGGCACATCAGCTGAGAGCTGGATCAGAAGTGGAGCGGCTGGAACGCAGACCAGCACCTGTACAGGATGCCAGCATTGTAGACAGCAGATTAACGTGCTGCGCCACAATGCCAGCTCCTCAACTTCCTTTGAAGTCGAGCTAAACAAACTGCCCCAGTGATGGAAGACACAGGCACCCCGTACTAACCCTCTGATCTTCGAAATGGGCTCATGACGTTCTTGTACCTGCTCGCCGGCTTGATTTTTGCTGAGTCACTGGATAGCTGCATCAGAGCTGAAGGCTACGCTGGTCTCTGAAGCTGACATCCGGGTAAGGGAGAATCTTCTACAGGTTAAACAAATGCTGCATTCCATCTCACACACTGCAGCAGTGCCTATTTGAGTGTGTAGCTGTGTACAGAGCCACCTAACCACTAGTTGCCTATGGTGCATTGGTAGAAGTGGGGGAACCTGGCCATTTAAGATCATTGCACTTGTTTTGGTCTTCAGTTTCCCCAGAGGAATCATCATTGAGGCAAATGTGCTGCTGTCTGGTGGAGTAGGGGGCGTGAGATTACACAATCCAGCGAGAACGTTGCCCCTTTTCTCTGACCCAACATGGGTTTGCATAAATAAAAAAGGTAATCTTGATTAAACTGGTTTAGACACAATTATTCAAAAGGCCAAGTTCTGGAAGGGGAGACTTTTTTTTTTAATAACATCAGCTGTTTCTTAGTGGAAAAACTAAATTAAGAGCTCCCCAGCCTTAACAGCTACTTGATAACATTTAGTGCCATACACACTACCTTTGAAAACCCCTGAACTGTGTTTGGGTGACTTAAGGTCAGGGCCTAAGGCTGTGTGCATGGGTTGTTAATGCACCATCACCATGTTGAGGGCTGTGCTCATTTTCTCTGTGGTCTATAAAAAGTCTCCATATCCTTATTCTTGTTCAAGAATAAAGACCAGTTGTGACCGTTATTAATTAGTGACTTAAAACCTATGAATAGCTGATGCTGCAGCTCAATAGGCTAATCCTCCGCCTAGCAGCGCCAGCACACTAGGTTCTAGTCCCGGTCGGGGCGCCGGATTCTGTCCCGGTTGCTCCTCTTCCAGTCCAGCTCTCTGCTGTGGCCCAGGAAGGCAGTGGAGGATGGCCCAAGTACTTGGGCGCCTGCACCCCATGGGAGACCAGGAGAAGCACCTGGCTCCTGCCTTCGGATCAGCGCTGTGCGCTGGCCGCAGCAGCCATTGGAGGGTGAACCAATGGCAAAGGAAGACCTTTCTCTCTGTCTCTCTCACTGTCCACTCTGTCAAAAAAACAAACAAACAAACAAACAAAAAAAACTATGAATTCTTTGTTCCTAAAGTTGTATTTGTGAAATGCAAGAAGTTTGTATTCCTTAAATAAAAGGTTTCAGGGTGGGGGGTGGAGGGACACCGTAAACAAAAGGAGAACAGAAACCACAAATTGGGGAAAAAATATGAAAACATATTAAAACTTTCTTGGAGAAAGTTTGAGGCCCCCAGAGGAAGGAGTTCATAAAGATTTCAGTGTTTTCCATAACAAGCACCAATCAAAGTTATTTTTCATCTGGCTCATGGGGAAAATACCAGACCTGCCCTTTGTCTCTTCCCTGCCATGGGTTTATCTACTGCAGCCAACTGTGGGTTTCCATGGTACCAAACAAACAAACATGATCACAGGATTTCCAGACAAAGGAGATCCTTATTTTCACCAAACCTTGGTGCTTTTTTTTGTTGTTGTTTCTGGTGGGAAAGAGAGGCTCCAAAGTATGGTATTTTCTACATCATTTGAATAAAGAATTTCTCTCTGCTCCTTTGCCTATAGTTTCTTTTGCTTTGGGGGCGGGTGGAAGGAAGTGGTTCTGTAATACTGATTCTCAGTATCAGCTTCTCACATCATTTACACCCGCTATGGTCATACAGGGACATTTCTCTAGCAAAGGAGACTCTTATCCCTAAGCACATCTTGTTAATGTCTTCCTGGTGCTGTGGTGCAGTGGGTTAAGCTGCTGTGTGCAATGCTGATGTCTCATACTGGAACACTGGTTCAAGCTCTTGCTTTTGAACTGGCTCCCTGCTAATGCACCTGAGAAGGCAGAAAACGATGGCCCAAGTTATTGGGATTCTGCCACTCATGTGGGAGACCTGAATGGAGTTCCTGGCTTCAGCCTTGCCCAAATCTGGCTGTTGCAGCCTTTTAAAAGGGAATAAACCAGTGGATGAGAGATTCTCCCTGTCTCCCTCTCTCTCTCTCTCTCTCTCTCTCTCTCTCTCTCTCTCTCTCTCTTCCTGTCCTCCCCACACCCTGTTGCACTCCTTTCAAATAAGTCTTTAAATATTTCATATGAGGGGCCGGCACTGTGGCACAGTGGGTTAACGCCCTGGCCTGCAGTGCCGGCAATCCATATGGGCACTGGTTTGAGACCCGGCTGCTCCACTTCCAATCCAGCTTTCTGCTATGGCCTGGGAAAGCAGTAGAAGATGGCCCAAGTCCTTAAGCACCTGCACCCATGTGGGAGACCCGGAAGAGGCTCCTGGCTCCTGGCTTCAGACTGGTGCAGCTCTGGCCGCTGCAGCCAAATGGGGAGTGAACCCTCAGATAGAAGACCTCTCTCTCTCTCCCTCTCTCTCTCTGTCTCTCTCTCTGTCACTCTTTCAAATAAATCTAAAAAAAAAATTAAATATTTCCTCCCTCCCTCCACCCATCTCCAGTGTAGACAAACATTCCTAAGTGCAGTCAGATTGGGGGCTATGCTGACTTCTAGGACAAGAGGGAGTATCCTGAACAGAAGTGACAGTGATGCTGAGCAATAACTCAGGAAAACAGATATAGGGTAGGTAAGGTGGCACTTCTTGCAGCAACTTTAAAAAGAAAGGTCAGATTGCCCAATACAAGGCTAATACATAGGAGTGGATTGCTTACCTAAAAACCATCAGTGAACAAGTAGGATTTGAAGTTAAAAACAATATTCATATTGGTACCTCCTCAAAATGGAATGCTTAGGTAGAAGTCTAACATATGGATAAGGTCCATTTGAGGAAAACCGTAAAAGTAATTAAAGAAGACAGCCAAATGAAAGGTGAGATATCCCGTGTTCATGGATAGGAAAAAAATCAGTATTGTCACAATGTCATTTTTTCCAGTTTGATCTATTGATTCAATGCAATTTTTTTTTTTTTTTTTTTTGACAGGCAGAGTTAGAGACAGAAGGAACGGTCTTCTTTTTCCATTGGTTCACCTCCCCCCCTAATGGCCTCTGGTGCGCTGCAGCAATCCAAACCCAGAAGCCAGGTGCTTCCTCCTGGTCTCCCATGCTGGTGCAGGGCCCAAGCACTTGGACCATCCTCCACTGCCTTTCCAGGCCACAGCAGAGAGCTAGACTGGAAGAGGAGCAACCGGGACTAGAACCCAGGGTGCCGGCGCCGCAGGCAGAGGATTAGCCTAGTAAGCCACAGCGCTGGCCGATTCAATGAAATTCTAATCAAAATCCTAGCAAGTTCATTTATCAACAGATGAATCCTAGAGTTTGTATGAAGAGGCAAAAATACCCAAAATGGCCAACACAACATTGACAGAGGACAGACACATTCCAACTTAAAGACATGCTCTAAATCTGGAGTAATCAAGACAGTATGGTATTGGCAAGGGAAAAGTGAATAGAGAGCCCAGAAAGAGAGCCACATATATAGAGTCCACTGATCTTTCACAAAGGAGCAAAGGCATCATGAGAGCAGTGTTTCCAAAATACAGTGTTGGAGTAAATGGACATTCACATACAAAAAGATAACCTTAGACACAGGTTTTAAATCCGTTACAAAAAAGCTTAAAGTGGATCACAGAACCAAACGTAAACACAGAATGATAAAGCTAGAGATAAGACGGGAGAAAATTTAAATGAACTTGAGATTGGCAATAAGTTTTTAGATGCAATACCAAAGGAATGGTCCATGATAGAATTGATAAGCTGGATTTTATTAAAATTTTCTGCTGTTTGGAAGACATTGTCAAGAAAATAAAAAGACAAGCCACAGAGGAAATATTTACAAATCACACATCAGACAAAGGATTGTTATACTAGACAAAGAACTCACAGAGCCAGAGTTGTGATGCCGCAGGTTAAGCCACTGCCTATGATGCTGGCATCCCATATCAGAGAGCTGGTGAGTCCCAGCTACTCCACTTCTGACCCAGCTCCCTGCTATTATGCCTGGGAGACCAGCAGAATATGGACCAAGTGCTTGGGTCCCTGCACCAACATGGGAGAACCAGACGGAATTCCTGCCTTCTGGTTTCAGCTATTGTAGCCATTTGCGGGGTTGAGCCACTGGATGGATGATTCATATTCTCTCTCTCTCTCTCTCTCTCTCTCTCTCTCTCTCTCTCTCTCTCTCTCTTTTCCTCCCTCCCTCTGTCGCAGACACACCCCTCTGATTCACACATATAGCGCTCAAAAGAATAGAAGTCATAGTATGTAACTATCAAAATCTCGTGCGCTCTCTATACTTGGTATTCTATCTTATACTAAATCAGAACACACCCGCACACATTCCATGTACATACACACACGATGGGAGAGTGTGTAAACATCCTTGCCAAGTTACCTCACTCTCTCAGTAGAGCGCGGGCGCGCGTCGGATGAGCATAAAGACAACTAATGTCATTCGAGCTGTCTCTGATCACTTACATGCTCTCAGGACCATCCTATATCTACATACCGCGGGATACACGTAATATATAGGTAACACCTACTTACATCCGTACCCGAAGAGAAGCGATGAGAAGAAACTTTCCATTCACCCTCACGGATGTTCTGGATTTTCTTCCGACCATAA